CTTAACAAGAGGCAGAGGGCATGATGAGGCCAGCCACTGCTTGTTTGGGGTTTGTGGACCTTTGAGAGATTTTAGGAAAGTCCACAGCATGAGAAAGCCTGGCTGCTTGTGTGGAACAGCTGCTGAAAATGTTTTGGGCCAGTGGGTGAGCTGGGAGGGGCAGGGTCTCAGGTAATCTCCAGAGCTGGGCAAGTGGTATTAGCCAGGTTAATGGCGATTCAGATTTGGTGCCTGCCTGTGCCTGCTGTCTGTGTGTGGGGAGGGCTCAACGAAGGAACAATGGTGCCTGCCAGCACTTCAGTCTTGGAAAGAGCTTTCCCTTCAGCCCTAACTCTAAAGCCAGATAATTCAGTTCTTCCCCTTATGTCCCTGGTGCTTTTCGAGCTGCTGTCCCTTTACTGGAACTTAGTTAGGGTGAGTGTTTGTGAGTGAGTGAGCCTGTACTTGGGCCCTTTAAGAAGATGCCTGTGTCTACACCAATCCTCCATTTCACCCAGACAGAATCCCCACTGATTTTCACAGCCAGATGTTGTGGGGACTCCTCTTACCAGCTCTGGTACTCTGGGTTGGGGATCCCAGTGTGGGACTGGGATCCCTCACTCCTTGGGGAGGGGAGCTTCCATACCTGAGATATCCCTCCTGATTCTTAACCACCACACATGGGTGTGGGACCAGCCTGTTTCACAGCTCTGCCCCTCCTACCATCTCAACATGGCTTCTTATTTATTTCCTTAGTTGTAGGAGTTCGGTTCAGCTTGTCCTCAGGTGGTTCTCAATTATCAATTATGGTTCTAGTTGTAATTTAGTTGTAATTTTTATGTTGTCATGGGAGAAGGTAAGCACAGCATTTACGTACTTTGTCATCTTGACCTGAAGTCTAACTTTCTTGCAAGTCTTTTAGAAGACATTTCTAGTCTTGCTCAGAGGCTTTGGATAGACCAACTGGCTGCTCCCTCCCAACCCTGGATCCCAAGGAAGCCGAGGAGTTTTCTCCTTTCAAGGGATTTCCTCTTTCATCCGAAGGTGATTAGTGAAGGAATCTGGTGTTACCAGGCCATAGCAGTGGGTGGGTGAGGCTACTTAACCAGCTGAATCAGGGGAGGCTTCCAGGAGGGAACAGCTTTGAGATGCCTCATGAAAGACACCTGGGAAAAGGCTTGGGGTTGGCTCATAGATAGGAGGGAGGAACTCAGTGCAGACTGGTTGGCAGGGCATGCTGAGTTTGAAGAGAAAGAATTTACTCCAGCTCCATAACAATCCTTCTCTGCAAGCCACACCTGCCAGCTCTTTGTACCTCCTAAACCTTGCAAGGGATACTGTAGGATCTGCAGTAAGTCAAATTCCACCATAACCTCATATAGGGAGAAGTGTTGCAGTAGGAAGGCTTTAAGCTAGACTAGAGGGAGAACAGGATAAGACAGAAGATGAATGATTGAGGGAATTCATGGGATCCGTTTCTTTCAAGGTTTTTAAAATGGAAGAGGTTCCTCTGCTTTTAGGACTCCCTCAGACACAATAGCAGTTAGGTAGCCTTTGGGTTTTTTTCTTTGCCAGTTTTGCATGTAACACATAGGCTCTGCGGGTTATCTGGAAATGCCTTTTTGTGTAACCTGTGCAACTGGATTTTGGGTTGGACCCAGGCAGATGGGTTGAGCGTAGTTAGGCCTTTTGATGGGTACAAATGGCAGAGCTGGAGTTAGGGGCTTGAGGAGGGCTCTGGGAGCAATCACTTTCCTATGGATGGTCCCCATTGCCTACCCCAGACTTCAATACTCAAGCAAATAAAAATCCTCACTCTTTAGTTCAGCCCCAGGGCTGATAGGCATGGCATAGCGGTGAAAAGGCTGCAGCCAGTCCTGGAAGAACAGTTGTTTCTTTGGCTTCTTCCCCTGAGATGGTCTTTTCAGGCCTTGGACTATGGGGATCCCCAGAAGCCTCTATTGTTCGCCAGGCATTTGGACAGAGCAGCACCCCAAGGAAGGAAGGAGTCTGGGGCCTCTGTCCAGGAGGATCAAAAGACCAATCGACCAACATCAACTAAGAATTCAACCAAATAAATATCTGCTGAGTCAAATCTCATGCTGCCTCTGTCTGGCTGGGGAGGATGCTTCTGTGCCTGGGAAGTGAGCCATGCTCAGCCTGGTTGGAGGGAGGATGGAAAATAGGCAGCCATCCTCTAAGCAGCCCAAGCCCCTCACACAGAGCTCTCTCCTTCACTGTTCATGCCAAATTTAAATGATTGACTCACTGGTCCATTTTCCCGCTGGACTGTGAGTTCCCCAGCCTGTTCATGCCTGTGTGATCAGTTCCTTATTTAGAGTCTGGCACATGCAAGGTAAGATGCTGGAGAATTCTGTGTGAATGAGTGAATAATCAACAACATCAGGCGGTCTGAGCTATATTCCACTGAGTAGGACACACAGGGATGTTACAGGAGTTGAGAGGAGGGAGCCATCACTGTGGGCCTGGGGCAGAGGGAAAGCCTTGTGGAAGAGATAATTTCCACTGGCTTGAAACCATTTGCACCTGTTTTCCTCCCTCAGGACAACTGAGAGTGGCATTCTCCAGCATCCATCTTTCTATCCTCCCTCTTAAAATCTATTCATCTACCTCAGTCGCCCACCAGTCCTGTCATGGGACAGCCAGTTATGTGCATCTCTTCCCCGTACACCTAGCACTGGTAGCTTGAAATTGGTCACAGTAGGAGAAATTGACAAACACTATAAACCAGTGCTTTTTCACCCTAGAAAATCCAGTTGCTAAACTTTTATCAGCACACTCACCTATCTACTACCTATCCATCTCCTTCCTTCCTCTCTCTTCCCTTCTCTTACCTCTTTTCTTTCCACCTATCTTCCTTCCTTCTTCTCTTCTTGCCTTTTTCCCTTCCTTTTTTTTTCAATTGTTTTATCAAACTCACCAACTACCTACTCATCCACTCACCCAATTCATCCATCATCAATCTTTCTCAGCCCACTCATCAACCATCAACATATCTATTTCCTCACTTGGATTCATCTAACTTTTATTTCTTCCCCCCATCCACAAATGTTTTCTACTCTGTGTCACCCTATTCCTAAGGCTAAGAATCATTCCTCAGACTCCTAGAAGATAGGTGCATGAACTCTAAGAACTAGCAGAGGCCTCCCAGTGCAGCACCCCAGGCTCAGCCAGCATCGATGTTGGCTTTATAACCAGAACACTTCGGTTTTCCTCTTCTGCTCCTTCTTGCCCTCCCTGCTTTTTTCTCCTCATAGCCTATTCTCACAGGTTGGGGAGACATTATTAGGAAAAAACGGGGGGCATATCCCCCACATCCAGCAGACCAGGACAGTACTGTTCTTTCTCTGCCTATTCCCCCACACCTCTGGCAAGAGCCCAGTGGAATTGGGCCTGACTTTTTGAGAAAGGGTTCCCCACCCTAGCAGGCCCCATAAGCTCTTAGCCAATTTACCACTGAGATCAAACAAGAGGGGATCTTGTGGGGCCTGAAAACAGAGACATCAGGTAAGAGGGAATCCCCATTATGAAGCCAGCACTCTTTACCCTCAACACCACGCCACACCTCCTCTTAAAACTCTGGGTGCTTAATGTCTCTGCTTTTGTTTCCAGGGATGTTATTGCAAAGGATTAGCTGTTCAGCCTGGTGAGCTAAAGGGGCGGGGGCTCCTGAACTTGACCTGGATTCTAGGGGAAGGGAGGGAAACCCACTCCCCTACACACCGCCCAGAACCTGCCACCCTAGCCACACCCATGTTCTGTTTTGTCCCATCCAGCCCAGACTGGGAGAGGCACAGCTCTTTATTTGTTGGGGAGTGTTGGTTTCCCAGGACTATGGCAATAGGTCACAGCCTAGAAGTGACCAGTTGGCATGTCTTGGCAAGTCTTCCTGCAGGCTGTCAGAGAGAGGACTCAGCTGGAATAGTTTTTCTCACTTTTCTTCCTGAGCTCTGTATTTATATGATAGTTATACACTAAGAGCTCACTTCTGAGATTATCTGAGTTCCACACTTCACTGGCCTTTTTTTTTTTTTTTTTTGGAGGGTATTGCCTATGGCCTGGCTCAGAGAAGGTGGACAGATTTTTTTTCCTGAGTCACACAGCAAACCTACTGTGGAGACAAATAAGAACGAACTGTTTGGGACCTGAGTACACAGCCACCTGGCCTGGCATTGCTTGCATTCCCTTCATTATTGTTTCTCTGTCCTTTGGATCCAAGCAGGTTCTGACTTGCTCTGATTGAAATAAAGTAAGCTCTGTATGTATCTTGTTAAGGCTGCTGAGACAGGCATGATTTTCAGAAGCCATCTTCCACTGAGATATTCATGTAGCTAGCTGAGGAAAGAACTTTAGCAGCTCAAAGGCCTTGGGTTCAGATCTCAGTTCTGCCAGTTGACTTTAGGCCAACAAGTGATCTTAGAGATTCAGTTTTCTCATCTATTAAATAGGGATTGTTGAACAGGTTGTCATGAGGATTAAATGAACTCATATAGTATACCTAGGACAGTGCCTGGAAGTTGGCAAGTTGGGTTCAATAATTAAAAGCCACTTCATGCCAAATCCTAAAATCCAAATCAAACTGAACCCATCAGTCCCCTTAAGGTGAGAAACAACTCCACTGTCCCAGGGTAGGGAATCTCTCCTCTGAAATAAAGGCCTGCAAATTACAAGGCTATTTGGCTTGTATGACCCAATTAATAGCCTTCTGTCCCTTGGGCCTCTGCAGACAACTCAGCTTTTGCCCCAGGGGCCCTTCCACTCAGCAAAGCCTGCCTACATGTGAGGACAGAGGCTCCCCATTTTCCTGATGAGAAGAAAGTACGTCAAAAGGAAGCAACCCAACTGGTTGCTGAGTTGTGGAAAATAATTAAACTGGGGGAGGAAAAAAAAAATCACTTCTTTTAAAAATCAGGTTAGGTATGAACATGCAGGGCGTGGCCCCTGTATAATTAGCTGCTCTGCGGGCTCTCTCCTGCTTCTCTCCGGGCCGTTGTGTCAGGCTTGTGCCAGCTGTCCCTCCTCTCTGCCCCCCCTTCCTCCTTCTCCTCCTTGTTCCCTACAGGTGTGTCTCCAGGCTCGTGACTGCCTGTCCCACTCTCCGTTGAGACCTCCACCAGAGAGGTTACCACCCTGAAGCCCCAGTGAGTCTGAAACAGACCAACCAGTGCCGGAGATGGAAGCCACTGATGCCTCCCGGAGCAACGGGGCCAGCCCGGAAGCCAGGGAAGCCCGTAGCCCACCAGGCCCCACCAGCAGTGGGGAGAACGGGGCCAAGGCCGATGGCAAAGATGCCAAGGCCACCAATGGGCATGGCGGGGAGGCAGCTGACGGCAAGAGCCTGGGCAGCACCCCGAAGCCAGGTGAGGGGAAGAGCTCTCTGTTCTTGGGAAACGAGTGGCGGCGGCCCATCATCCAGTTTGTGGAGTCCGTGGATGACAAAGGCTCCAACTACTTCAGCATGGATTCTGGGGAAGGCAAGAGATCCCTCTATGCTGGGCTCCAGCTGGGGGCTGCCAAAAAGCCACCTGTCACCTTTGCGGAGAAGGGGGAGCTGCGCAAGTCTCTCTTCTCGGAGCCCCGGAAGCCCGCCATGTCCATCGTCGAGCCCGGCGATGTCCGGAGGAACAGCTACCCACGGGCCGAACAGGGCATCGCCCTGCGCTCCAAGCCAGGCTTGGAGGAGGTCCTGTGTGATTCCTGCATTGGCAACAAGCAGAAGGCCGTTAAATCCTGCCTGGTGTGCCAGGCCTCCTTCTGCGAGCTGCACCTCAAGCCCCACCTGGAGGGCGCTGCCTTCCGAGACCACCAGCTGCTGGAGCCCATCGGGGACTTTGAGGCCCGCAAGTGCCCCCTGCATGGCAAGACCATGGAGCTCTTCTGCCAGACAGACCAGACCTGTATCTGCTACCTCTGCATGTTCCAGGAGCACAAGAATCACAGCACAGTGACTGTAGAAGAAGCCAAGGCTGAGAAGGAGGTAACTTGCTGGGCCCCTCACTGCCACTTCAGGCCTGTCTTCCCTCACTTTGCATGTCTCTCCACCTGATCACTCCCCTGGGGGTTCCTAAGGATTGGGGCTTAAGTCACCGCTGTCCCTGGCTCTTTTTAGCCCCTGCGTGCCTCCAGGCTGGAGGTCAAAGGCAGTTCCTCAATCCTCCAAGACCTCAGGAGACTGGAGCATTTCCTAGATGAGCAAATAGAGGTTCAGAAAAGATTGGGGGCTTGACCAAGGTCATAGGATAAATTCAAGTCAGATCAGAGAATCAGCGCTCAATCCTGGGCTCTGTGTATGACTGGCATGTTCCTTCTTTTTTTATTTAAGGGAGAGAGAATTCTTAAATTCCCTCTGAGCAGGACTGGCCCCTGGAAAATGGGTTATGGGTGAGGAGGGGGGAATTTTTTAAGTGTCCTTTTTTCTGGCTACAGGGTTTACATTTACAAGGCAGTGGCTTCTTGGTGTTTTATTTGATCTCCACAGATAGTCTCTTGACTCCTCCAATGGCCTCCTTTATCTTCTCTCAGCTGGGCCCTCTGTGCTTTGTGTGTATGGTTGCATGTGGATGTGCCTGTGCTTGTAGGTAGACACTGTTGGTGAGGGTTGGGGTTTATGTGTGTGGGGTGGTGTATACATACATGTGTGTGTGTGTGCACGCGCGCGCGCATTATATGCATGTGGGTGTTTATGCATACATGTGGATGTTTACATATATTTATATTTGTGATACATGTGTTTGCATGAGTTCCATATATGTGGTTATGCCTATACTTCTATGGGGAGGAGCGGAGGCATGTGAAGGCTTGTGAATGTGGTACACCTGGAGAATGTGTTCTGAGCTAAACGCTCAGCGGTGGTGGCTGCCCCTTGCCCCACAGATGCTAGGTCTGCTCTTACTAGCAGCAGCACAGCTTCCTTCCATCCAGGGGATGGAGTGGGAGTGGGGAGCGGGGAACCTCCTGGTGGCAAATGCAAGGGACTCAACTTTCCTCAAGAGCTTTTTCACCCCTTAGAATGGGGCAGCACAGGGCCCTCTCCCTGACCAGCCTTCCTGACTAGGAGCTTGCTGATGACTCTCTTTCTGAACCCCTTGCCCACACCCTTGGGGAGGGAGGGACAGTTAGGAATGGAAAAAGACTCAAGGATCCTTTTCGAAAGCCTCATGTGGCCCAAGAAGAAGGTTTTCCAGTTCCCCCCACCCCCTACTTTCCCACCCCAGCCTGGCTTCAAGCTTCATGCTTAAAGGCTGAGGTGGAGCAGGGGCCATGGACCCATCCTTCAGCAGCTTACTCGGGAAATCAAAACAGAATAAGGGTCACTCATCTTTACCCACTGCAACCAAAAAATTACAGAGCCTCAAACTGGGTTTTAGGAGACCTGACTGAGTTCTAGCCCTGGTTTTTGCCTCTAACTAGCTATAAGATGGTGGACAAGTCCCTTTCATTCTCTCAGTCTTGATTTCCCTACGTGTGAAACCAAGGAGTTGGACTAGATTGATGGTTTTCAAATTACCCCTTGGAGCCTAGGAGTCTTATAAATATCTTTGAGGCCTCAGGGATAAGGAGGGGGGCAAATTGGTGCCAAGAAGCCAGGGACTCTAGTTCCCACCTCTACTGCAAGCAGCACACACTCTTATTTATTTGTTTTAATATGGCCCCAAATTTCATCTGAAACAAGGGCATCACCACTTAAGAAAAGTCCAAGTGCCTCTGGAGGACAGGAGTGTCTCAGGCAGACCTCCCTGGAGGCACCAGGAGCTCAGAGTTCACGCTCTGGTACTGGGGCTACTATAACACTCAAAGACACAGTCCTCACACTTGAGGGCTCATGATGTAGGTCAGGAGGCAGAGCTCAGACACACACAAACAAGCCTGGGAAGCATCCGCCCAGTTACACAGCAGCAGCTGTAGGTAAACATCAAATCATAGAGGACGGAATGCCAGGCTGAGTATTAGCAACCTCATCCACCTCCTCTTCACCTTGCAGATGGGGACATAGGCCAGAGAAAGGAAGGGACCTGTCCAAGTTTCATAGAGTTTGAGGAAAAATCCCTCTAAGTTCTCTTCCAATGTTTGAGAGCAACTTAGGGGACAGGCATTAGAGGAGATAGGATTCAGGATAAGTGTACTTTACAGGAGCTTTCGGGGGAAAATGTCTGATCCATTGGAATGACTTTAATGGAGGGAACTTCATGCAGTGCGTGTGTGTGCATGTGTGTGTGCGCGCGTGTGCGCGTGCTCGTGTGTGCACCAGCAGCATAGGAGTAAGGAGGAAGGCAGGTGCCAAGCAGCCAGGAGATTGAGATGAAACAGAGCAGTTGGTCGAGGCCTGGCTGTGCTGGAATGTCCGATGAGGGGACATTGGCACAGAGTGACATTCGTGGGTTGATGGATCAAAATGAATGAGTGCATCAATCCTGGCATCCTTTGGAGGCATCCCCTTCAAACTCAAACATTAGTCCACACACAGTTTTTTCAAGCACCTCTGTGTCCAGTACCTGTTCTGCTGGCTGGTTGGTGAAAGCCTAAGCAAGATCATCTCAGACCTGTCTTGGTTATCTGCACAAGGCTGTAGATGACACCGGGGCTGTGGGTGCTTATCTCCTGGAACTCACAGCTTTATCTAGAGACTCTGAGCAGAGGCAGTGTTGCGGCAAGGTCACTTGGTGTGGCTACATGACAATTCTTCCTCTGGTGGGCCTAAGTTCAGAATGTTTTCAATTCCACCCTAAATGTCACAAGGGGTCCGAAAGATGTCCTCTGATCCATCACCTCTGCCTCTGGACATTTCCCAGGCTGGATTAAGCTGATAAGTTTACGATGTACACATCCCTCCTTTTCTATGTCTCAGGTCCCTTCCTTCTGTCTTTCCCAAGCCCCTCCTGCTACACTGGATTCGGATGGACTCCTGCCAGATGGCTGCCTGCTCTGGGGCAGCCTGTCTGGCCTCTGCACCCAGCAGTGGCCCTTCCCTGTTGTGGGTCCTGGCTGGGCTCTGGGTTGGCAGCACGGCAAAGTATGTGCAGAGAAGCACTCAGCCCGGGCATCGCTCTGGAGGCGCAAGTTCCTGGTTTCTCAGTGCAGCTCAGATTCTGTGCCTCAGCCACTCTCTAAACTCCAACATTTGGCTCAGTTTGTTTCTCTCACCATGCCCCATGACTTCGCATCTTGCCTCATTGTCCAATTCTTCCTTGAAGGTTGAGCTGTCAGGCTGCTGGGCATAGGCAGCCACTGGTTCTCAAGACTTGGGAGCTGTGCTGGTGTGGGCAGGAAAGCTCTTTGGGCAGAGAGCGATAACTGGGGTTCAGGAAGAGAAGCCAGGCTAAAAGCCTAAGGTGGGATGGAGAGGGCTGGGATTACTCTCCCAGGAGATCTTTCAGGAGCATTCCTGCTTTGGGACAGTGTGGGTAAGAAAAGGAGGTGGGATGACCTCTGTGGGTGCTAAGGGGGAAACAATAAAATAAAAGAGGGCTAAAGACAGAAGGCAGGGAAGGGAAGTGACAGGCAAATGGGCAGAAGACACACCAGTCTTTCTGGAGCACATCTACGTGCCAGGGACTGGATTTGGCATTTACATGGTTACTCCTGACAACAGTCCAAAGAGGAGAGGGTGTCACTGCCCCTATTTTATAGATGAAGAAATAGGCTCAAAGATGCCAAGAGGCTTACCCAAAGTTACAGTGCTGGGGATTTTCAGAACTGGGTTTAAACTATTAGCGTGGCTACAGCCCCGGCTGTTTCCTCTCATCATTTTAAACTTTGTTTTCATAGGACTGGGCAGGCTCTCCTTGGGCCACTGAGTCCAGTGGCTTATAAAAGCCGACCTCTGACCTGAATTGCCTGATGGATTGTTAAGACACAGACTCCAGGGTCTTATCTTGGGAGGTACAGATTCAGGGAGTCATGGCTTGGGATCTGTATTTTTAAGTCTCCCTTGGGGATTCTAATGTGTCACCAGGTTGGAAATCAAGTATCTAGTTCAATTTCACCAGGGGAAACCAAGGCCTGGGGAGGTGGGGTGACTTCCTCCAGGGCCCACCGCTGGTCTGGAGACAGCCTGGGTGATGCTCTTCCCATTCCATCTTGCCTCTTCCCTGTCCTGACACCTGAGGAAGCAGAAGGAACGGTAAGCCCCAGTCAAGCAGACTAATGAGCTGTTTGACATCTGCGTGGAAATGGGGAAATCTATCTAGCATTTCAGATTCTTATCCAGCTAATTACCATTTGTCGGAGAGTACAAATTTGACAATTAACTGGCTCATTTGGCAAATGTCACAGCCCACAGCCCATGTGGTTAATTCAAGCCAGGGGAAGATCGCAGCCAGATCTTCAACCCCCCTCCCCGGCGGGGCAGGGCAAGTACGTGTGTCCAGGTGAGTGTTCAGTTATGTCTGCACCGGAAGGCCCCATTCAGGCTGAGGTACCACCAGCTACTGTGCCACCTTCTGCTCTCAGGGAAACCTCTGCTCCTCCAATGCTGGGTCGCCTACACGGCCTGTCTCAGGCATCAGAACAAAAGGCAACCAGGCGAGTGTGGGAGAGGGAACAAAGGAGGCATTTAGGAACAGGCCTGGGCAGGGTGAAGGGAATGAAACAGAGAGTAGGAGGCAGTCAGGAGGGAGGGGTAGACAGGGAGCTGTGAAGTGCTGAGGCCTCATCAGACATTGGGGGCTTACTCACCTTCCAAAGGAGGAGGTAGAGAGGGAGAAAGATGGGGCCTCAGGGGGCAATGTGGTGGGTATGGGGAAGAAAGGGGGAACAACAAGAGAAAGAGGTAGAATCCCCAAATTGCAAAGGTAGAGGAGCCCTTGTCGGCTGAAGTAGCAGGAGTGAAGTGGAAGGACAATGTCTTGGAAGATACAGAGAATAGCCTAGAGGTTAAGAGGCCCCATAATAGAATCTGAGTGCTGTTGCATTTTGGCCTTACCACTTTCTAGCTGTGAGAACTCAAGCTGTGCCATCTTTCTAGGCCTTGGTTTCTGCATCTTTAAAATGGGGATAACATCACTTATCTCCACAGAGGTTTTTGCGGATTAAAGGAGAAATGCCTGGCACATAGTAGATGCTCAATAATATTGATTATGTCCTTCTTTCCCTAGTGTTGCAGGAGAACCCAATATCTTTGGAGCTTTCCTGTGTTATATTGTTTTCTATATCCTGCTTTTTTTCCAGCAGGGATATTAAAAAGAGGTAAACAGATGCTTGATACATCTCCAGAGATCTCACCCCCAAAAATCCTCATTCTGGAGGTGAAAAAGGACCATTCTAGTAGCAGTTTCCAGTCCAAGGTCCCTTCCAAGATCCCACTGTGTCCTGCAAGTCTGGTCTTGCAAGACATGCTGTGGGAGCAAGGCCACTTCCCAGCCTGTGTCCAACTTTTCTAGTGTCCCAAAGAAATAATGCTAGCCTCTCTTCCACACTGATTCTGCCCACTGCTGTAGACAATGCACCCACTTTTGACCCTGCCCTCACATGGTTCCAGACCAGACACCTCTCCCTTTTCCCTCAGATTACTGGCTGATACCTCTAGCTCTCCTCTCCACACCTCAGCTAGCCTCACTGCCCTCCTCACTGGTTCTCACACAGGAATGGCTCCCAGGGGCTGACTCCCTCTGCCCTTGGCCTAAGCTCTTTATTGTTCTAAATCTCCTTGGACTCTCCTTCCTCTTTGATTAGTGCCTTCTTTCTCCCTTTTGGCTGGTGAGCCCATGCTTGTCTAGGTATGACCTGCAGGCCTTGACCCAGCCATATCCCCCCCGACCCCACACACACATAGCTCCCAGCTGGTTTTCGTTAGTACCTCTGCTCACTCCAGTTACTTGACTCCTCTAGCCTTCACCTTCTCTGGTCAAACCTCTCCTCGTACTCGCAGGTGTTTAGTCCACCCTCACCCCCTTCTTCCTACCTCCATTCTGGTTTTCCTAGTATCCTCCAAGCTTCAATTATTCACCATCAAAGCCCCTATTTTGCATCTTCAGTCTAAAATCTTGAGCTCCCCAGCCTCTCTATACATACTTCACTCTGTATCTTGACAGTGTACGCACTACACCTGGACTCCAATATGATAGCACACCTTATGCTCACCACTGAACCCCAAGACCTCACCTGATCACACTTGTCTGCTCCCCTCACTTACTTGTGCCCTGATGGCCTGCCTGCCACACTGCGCTTACCCCTCTGAGCCTGGTCCATAGAGGGTGCCCCACACAACAGTGACATTGGGACCACTAGACAGTGCTTTCTTTGTGCCAGGCACCTTCTGAGAGCTTCGTTTTCCTGATCCCAGTTCATTGAACATCCTAGGATGTTGTCCTCTTACCACCTCCATGAAATATGGAGCGACTGAGGCACAGAGAAGTTAGGTAACTTGCAAAGGCCAACTGTCCGGAAATGATAGTACCTGGATTTAAGCCTTGGGTCTCCCAGTCCTGTGCTCTGGGTGGGCTTCCTCCAGGATTCCCCATGCGCATTTCACGGAAGGGCTGCCCTTCCTCCCACCCCTACCAGGCCTGGGGTGGGAGTGTATGCAATTTTATTCTCTGCTTTCCTATCCATCAGACCTTGTTTTGGGGATGGTAAGGTGGGAATGAGTAATTCAAGTGCCAATTCCTCCATCCCTGAGCCGAGTTAGGAAGTCTCAGCTGCAGTAGGTGGGAGGTCTCCAGCTGTCCCATTGAGCTCAGGCTAGTGCAGGAATTCTCTAGGGATGGGAAAGTTGCTTGGGACAGACCCATCATCCAGCCCCTCGGTCCCTTCCTCACAGCTCAGGTCTGCCTACCAGGCCCAGACTCCCTGGGGCCTTCCAGGCCACTGGCTCTACCATCCTCTGTGTTCTGGGCTCTCAAGCTCTGCATCCTCAGAGAGTGTGAGGGTTGAGTCTCTGCTGTCCACAATAAGATCTTACTCCCTTTGCTCTCTCCACCCGCCTCCCACTGTGTTTATTGGCAGTTGGCTTCTCCCCAGCCTTTTTCCAGACATCAGGCCAAATCCCCAACCTCATCTTCTTTTATTCCCCTCCTTTTGACAATTTCCTATCTCTGGTGATGGCATTTTCCATGTGGTGGTATTTCCAGCCCATTGCTAGCAGTGCAGATCCTTACTGATAAGAACCTAGAGTCTCCGAGCTGGAGAGCTCAGGAATGTGAGTGGGGCTGGGTGGTGGAATCAGGGGCTTTCTGTCGGGGAGCTCTGCAGCACCTGCCCCAGGTCTTCCCCACCTTCTCCACCAGCTCTCCACCCCACTGGGCACCTTTTCCAAACAATCCAGGGAAGCTCTCTCCACCATCAATCCACTTCTCTGGGTATCTGCAGCAGGTCCCCCATCAGCACCCATCTCAGCCAGGTGAAGCATTCAGGAGGTGTGACGTGTGGTAAAGTCTGTGCCCAGCTACTCAAGACTCCTTGCCGAAAAAGCTCACATTCCTACTTGTTTGTATCTTCTTCATCTTGACTGTTCTCATGGGTACCTCAAAGAGATGACTGGAGAAAGATGTGGGACTCCGCATTCAAAATCCGGTGTGGTGGGTAGACCTGGAGCACTCCAAGGTCTTCTTGGATGCCTTGGTCTTTTTAGTATGTCAGATGAAGATCACCCACCTGTCTTCCAAGTTGGAAGATGCTTTGAGAGCACTAGTGGGGAGCATAGCAGAACAAAAAAAGTGCCTCTTGGCTTGCCTGAATTAGATTGGCCTTAGCTTCAAGCCTCTCTTTTTGTCTCTGTTATAGCTGCTTTTTAGAGACGGGCATTTTTCCAAGTGAAAGGAAAATATGGATATGAGAGCTCATATCCCAACATACTCCTGATAAATCCTCTTCCCAACCCACCCCAGACCTCAACAGCCCATGTCCTCCCCCTGAGCAGGGATCCCTAGAACTTCTCCTGCTCTTTTCTCATCCGCCCACCACTGTTTGTCTCGCTAGCCTCTCTCCTTCCCTGAATAAAAGTTCCTATCTTGCCTAAACTGCAGACTGCATTCCCTTTTCTATAAACAGGTTTATAGCTGTGCCTGCCCAGACAGAGTCCCTGCCAGCGGCAATGCTAGCTGTAGCTTGCAACACAGGCCCCACATCATGCCATAGAAATGCTGCACATTGTTTCTGCCATGGGGCACTCCCTGGGCTGGGCTGAGCTGGACTGAACTGGGCTGAATCCCTCCCTCCCCTTAGCTTGAAAGAGGCAGGAGCTTTCCTCCATCTTCCCAATGGCCCCAGGACCATCGAAAGGAGTGGGAGCCCCATAAATGGGCCTCCCTCCTGCTCACATTAGGTGGAGGGGGCTTGCAGATGTTTAACCCTTTTAAAGACATGGCTGGGGTATCTAACTCCAGAGGTCCAAGTTTATAGTGAGACAGTGATTTTGGATCCTTGGCAACTGGCATGGTGCCTGGCATGTCCTAGGTCCTGATGAGTGTTGGATGAATGAAGGGCTGACTGGACAAGGAGTGAGCCTTGTGCCAGTTTTCTCCCTGGGTGGGCCCACTCCCTGGTTTTCTGATTCTCTTCTACCTCCTTCCCCTGACTTCTCCTCCAACCCTGGCCCCTTCCTTGCAGACAGAGTTGTCACTGCAAAAAGAACAGCTGCAGCTCAAGATCATTGAGATTGAGGATGAAGCTGAGAAGTGGCATAAGGAAAAGGACCGCATCAAGGTGAGCAGCCCTTAAGCCTCTCTCTTGCTGTACTCTTACATCACCTGCTCTGCCTGGAAGGAGGGAGGCTTTCTGTTTAAGGTCCCAGGCACACATTTATATCCCACACTTGTTTCTCCTGGGTTTGCCTACCCGCTTTGGCATTTCTACTAATTCTCCTAAGTCTGGGCCAGGAATCCAGATGGGATCTTCCCTATCACCTAACACTCATCATCTCAGCAAATAAAGACCCTACACCAACTTGTCTTCCAATGTCTCCTTTGTCTGCTCTGCCCACCAGACTACTCAGCTACCGAATGCATGCCATTTTTTCCTTTACTGTGCCAGTGTGGCTAGATGTATGTCTGCCATGGTTTGAATAATTGCAAATGTGATCTAAAATCATTGACTATTGACCCTGGCCACATAAATACCCATCAAATCAGGTTCTTATGAATGATGTTTGATCCTGGTTGAGGTTTCAGTGAATGCACCCTAACTCATGGGGGCACTTTTGGGCCTACAGAGTTGCCCAAGGGTGGAATGGTAGTTGGAGAGGAGCCACAGATGGATAAAGAAAGGTAGGCTGTAAAAAAACAAAAAACATGACCATCTCTATCAATAGACAGCATCCCTCAATGATGCCTTTGAATGAGATTCTTGACCAAACAGGCTTGCTGGGTTGGAACAGTAGAAATCCCCTGACTCTGTTGCACAGGGAATAATTAGAAAACTCTAGGGAGGTTTTTAAATTACTGAAACGCTCTTTTCTTACTCCCCTTATTTGGACCCAGAGTTTCACCACCAATGAGAAGGCCATCTTGGAGCAGAACTTCCGGGACCTGGTGAGGGACCTGGAGAAGCAAAAGGAGGAAGTGAGGGCTGCACTGGAGCAGCGGGAGCAGGATGCTGTGAACCAAGTGAAGGTGATCGTGGATGCTCTGGACGAAAGGGCCAAGGTGCTGCATGAGGACAAGCAGACCAGGGAACAGCTGCATAGCATCAGCGACTCAGTGCTGTTTCTGCAGGTAACAAGCAACTCTTCCATTATTCAATCCCTCAATTCTCCCATCCACTTTTTCAGACCCTTATTCATCATCCATCCATCCACACATACACCCATCTATCCATTCATTTGTCTATCCATCCATCCATCCATTTATCCAAGCACTATTCCACCTATCCATTTAATTTTTCTATCCAAGCCATTTTCTTACCTAATCCAAAGATGGCACATAAATGTCACCTAGAACCAAATTTCAATTGGTATGTACTCAGTGCTTCAGGTGCAGAAGGAAAGAGTCCTGCGATTGATTGGTGATGTCTGCTTCAGGTATGAGAGAGTGACAGATACGTTGCATATTTGTTATCCTTGATCTTGTCCATCTGTTTGTCTATTCATCCATCCACACTGCTGTCTGCTACAGTGTTTTGGGTACTACTGCATGTCCAGTACTCTATTAGGTCTTAGGGAGAACGGAGAAGTATAAGACATGGTTTTTGCCCCTAAGGAGTTGCAATCTAGCTGGGAAGATAAGACATGTACAATTAGAGAACAATATAAAGAGTGTATAATTAATTGATAAAACATGTGATTCAGGAGATACCCGCCTGTGGAAGCCGTGAGAAGGGCAAGCAAGCTGGAGTAATCTAAGACAGCTTTGTGGAGGAAGTGAAATTTGAATTGGGTCTTGAAGGCCAGTTAGAATTTGAGAAGAAAGAGGGATTCTCCAGGGAAGGAGAAAGGACAGAAAAAGTGCAAAAGTATAGGGGCAGGGGTGAATGTGCCATGTAAAGGGGGAGATACCTCCATGACTGACCCACAGTTCTCTAAAACTTCCTTGCATTTCTTTAGTGCTTTCCCTCCCAAAGTCTTCACAGCTTATGTCACTCTCATAAACTCCTATGAGGTAGGCATGATGTACCTAGTGTTGGAGGTGGGAACCATGGAGTCACATATCTGCCTGCTAATGCTACCAGGGATGTTAGCATCTAGTGAATTATAGTCAAACCCTTTCATTTTACAGAAGAAGAATCTAGTGCCTGGTGAGGAGAAATGGGGCTAGTTAATAGCAGAGCTGGATCTAGAACCACTGGCTCCCAGTGCTGAGTCTTCCAGCTGAATTATGAGAGCCCCCAAGAGAGAAGGGTCCCCAAAGATCGTAAAACCCCCCGAGGTTAATGCTTCTCTCCTTTCTTGGTAGGAATTCGGTGCATTGATGAGCAGTTACTCCCTCCCCCCACCCCTTCCCACCTATCATGTTCTGCTGGAGGGGGAAGGCCTGGGGCAGTCACTTGGCAACTTCAAGGACGACCTGCTCAATGTGTGCATGCGTCATGTTGAGAAGATGTGCAAGGCAGACCTGAGCCGTAACTTCATTGAAAGGAGCCACGTGGAGAACGGTAGGTCCGCTCTTGTGGGCAGGCCCCAAGGCCATGGGCATTTTTCTCTTAAGTCAATTCCTGCTGCCTCGTACAGGCTGGCATCCAGGCAGCAGGCCCCTATTTGTTCCTGGCTACCCATTGCAACTAGGGTATTGGGACAAGAATTCAGGGATTGTAGTCTGCAATTGAACTTGCTGCTAGTTAGGCAGCCATTACAAGGGGTCTCCAGGGCAAGTAGAATCTGAGCACTGGCTGACAAATGTCTCTTCTCTGTGGTCATCCACCAGACTCAGGGATTGGTTTCATTCAGATCTGCATCTGTGTGGATGCTGCCACTTGTAAGGGCTAGACTCCAAACTGATGTCCTTGCAGACTCTGTTAGGTGGGGCCTAGAACAGCATTTGTGCTTGGGGTGAGGACTTGCCTGTTACTGTGACTGTGTGAGTGGTGTTGAGCCCAGAGGTTGAACTTGGCCTGGTGGGCTGGGCTGGAGACAATGGAATACATCATGTCTTGGTGACTCACCAGCTCCCCTGAAGTCAGCTTCTCTTCTGAGTCATATTGTACCGTGCAGAGGCCAAAAGAAAGCCTCTGAACTTGAGAAACTACCCTGTTAAGCCCTTTTCCACCAGTTCCAGTTCAGTCCCTTTAGGACTGAAGCTTGGACATTTTATCCAAGGCCCCACCCAGTGCCCTAAGTCCAACACAGGTCTTGAGAACACAGCCTGATTAATGACTTCTGACCCCAAACACACCAAAAGAGGTGAACTCTGTCTTTGGTCTCCAGATGGAGCTTGTGAATCTTTGGGAATGAGAAGGGGGTAATAGTGTGTAGAAGTGCTGGGGTTCAGGGCACTTTGTGATGGTGATATTACATAGTATCCCTGTAAAACTGGGGGACATTCAATCACACCTAAGGACCAAGAAGACAATCATTTGGCTTTAAGCAGCACTTGGGTCCTGAAATCCTTCTAATGGCAATGGCAATGCTACCAATGGTGATGGCTGACAGATTGAGTGCTCCATGTATGCTGGCTTTGTGTGAGCTCCTCACTTACAGCACCTTATTTTTCCTGCAGGTTATATTGCATTTCATAGACCAGAAGGCTGAGGCTCACAGAAGTAGCTTTTCACAGGGCACACAGCTAAGCAGGGGCAATAGTTGTGTTTTACACTGTTACTCAGCCTCTCATGTCTTCTCATCTGAGAAGTTACTGCTGCTGGTGGCCATGCAGAGGAGTTGGAGAGTGTGATGATCACAGTCCCTGGTGGGGGAGTCCCTCAGCTGAGGTCTGGCCAGACCTATGAAGGTAGCTCTGACTGAGTCAGGGTGGCCTGTGAGTCTCGCAGGGAACCCCTACCTGTCATCCACCCTCTGTACCATTTCTAGGTCAAGTTTGTATTGGCCATAGCCTCTGTGCAGGTGTGGCCCTGTGTCCTGTGCAAGGTGTACAGGGAGGCAGCCACCAGAAGCAGGGATGGGTGCTGCTGATGTCAGTGGCCCTGCATCTGTGCGTGGGGCCCTGGGCCTCCATGTTGGTTTTTGTTGCTGCTACGTTGTTGTTGGGAGTGTGTTTGGCTATGGGAGGCAGGGGATGGGTGATCAGTGAGTCAGACATTGGAGTGACCATCCTCTCCTCCCTAACGCGGGCCTGCCCACCAGACTAGGGTCTCATTCTATTGTCAAATGCCTGGGGGCTGGGAGATACCAGGCCACCTTCATCCTGGGTTTGAGGGAGGTGAACAGAGGGCTGGGCCAACACCTAGGAGGACGTTTATTTGTCATAGAGTGCCTACTTTGTGCCAGTGCCTGCTAGACACAGGGAATGGAATTGAAGAGTGAGGGCTCTCTCTTGCATAGGAGAGAGGGAGAAAGAGGGGCAGAGGGAAAGTAGGAGATGGGAAAATAGCAAGAGAAAGGAATGGGGTGGAGGGTGGCTGGGGAAGACAAGCACTGAGCAATAAGTTTGTTTGGGTTTGTGGGTCTGCTGGTGGGTGTAGGAGTGAGGGAGAGGAATCAGTGACCATTTGAGCAGCTCACTCCTCTCTGCATGCCTCTGCTCAATTGTCATTCCACCCCCTTGGGCTGCCAGCAGTGGCTGGGACAGAACTAGGATGTGAGACAGGGCTCAAACTCCAACTTTGCCCCTACTGGCCATGTGACATTGGGCAAGTGGCTTCACTCACCTCCTGAGCCTCGATTTCCTTATCTGTCACATGGCTATGGATCTTCATAACAGTTCCAAGAGTTGATGTATACATCAAATAAGAAATGAATATCAATATCACTTTGTAAACTGCAAAGTGCTGTGCACTTGATCTTACTCACAAGGTCAGTCCAAAGGAGGGTGGATGGCTCATTGTAGACTCTCTAGCCCTTCAGGAGCTCAAGAGCAGAGGGGATGCTGGATAGGCCTTTACCTTCTCTGAAGTTAGGAAGACTTGTCTCTCCCTGGGACAGAGGGAACTATGGGCTGACTTACCTGAGCCCAGGGTTGCCCCTAGTGGGCCAGCTGCTCCTCCCCACAGCCCCTGTGCTGACCCAACCTCTTTCTTTCCCAGGGAGTGACCATCGCTACATGAACAACTATAATAACAGCTACGCAAGTGAGTGGAGTGCACCAGACACGATGAAGAGATACTCCATGTACCTTACGCCCAAGGGTAAGGTAGAGCTGCTCTGTGGAGTGATTCAGCCAGGTCTCTCTGAGTAGGGTGACCATCTTCGGTTTGTTGGGATAGCCCTGGCATGTACCTGTTGTCCCGTTGTAATCATTAACAGGGCCTCCTCTCACTGTCAGAAGAATCCTGGTTTAGATGACAAACTACCTGGCATCCTGCTTCTTAGAGGCTTTCTGCTCCTGTGACACAGGCGGTCCCCACCCACCCCTTACCTCCAGCCCACATGCTTCCTTCTTTTTCCTTCCAGAGGGTCTCCTGGCTTCTGGTCTCACTTGCTCCCATCTGCAAGGCTGAGCTGTGTTTTGCTTCTGCTTAGGTTTTTGTACTCCTGTAGGAGGGCTGGCTCCTCCAGAATAATTCTGCTCCTCAAGGGCAAGGCCGACGGCTGGTCTTCTGAATCCCCCCACCACTCCCTCCCTATGCAGGAAGCTGTGCCATGCAGCCTGGCCCTCTCAGCCCTCATCCAGGCCCTATAAAGTCCTGGCCTGAAGAGGCACCAACCTGGGTGGGGGTATAGACCAATGCCTGCCTGTCCTTGCCCTGTGGTAGCCTGTCACATTCTTTGGCACCAACAACAAACCACAACAATGTCCGTTACATAAGGTGGGTATGCCAGGCCCGCCAGCCTCAGTTAGAAGGGGTGTGTGCAGGCATGTATAGGGGAGGGGGCTTAGAGAAGAGTGGGATGGAAGAAAAGGACAGAAAGGAGACATGGGCAAGGCACGAGGGGCTGGAAGGGAGGAGCCCTAAGTCCTCAGCACTGATTCACATACTTCAGACACACACGCAGTGGGAGGGGCTTAGGTGATTGGAAGAGAGGAACTCAGTGGGGAGGAACCTCTGCTGCCTCATCCAATTTGAAAACAACACCTGGTGGAAGCCTGGCTAGGCAGTTGGCGCCTGAATTCCCTCCTCCTTCCATGCCCCACATTATTGGTATAGGACAGGCAGTCCTGCCCCCTGCTCCCCCAGGGTGCTGCCCTTTGGATCTAGTACTATGAGAGAGTAAACTGCACTAACCAGCCACCCCAGCATCCCTTGCCCAGGCTCTGTCCCTCTTAGCTCTCCCCATCCTCTGAGGACCAGACCCTGATGTACCATTGAGCCCTGGAACTGGTCTCTGCTTGGCTCCCCTGCTCTGTAGAAGATTGAGGGGAGTGCAGACTTTACTTTAGGCTGTGAGGAGAGAACAGAGCAGTAATGAGGGATGAAGGAAAGAGCACAGACCTGCCAAGATGTCACCTTGGGAGTCTTCGACTGGTCACTGCCCCCTCAGAATCCCTATCTGACAAGAGAGGAGGTTGGACTCAAAAGTTAGGAGAGCTTCCAGGTCTGTCACTATGTGTCAGGCTGTGACATTTGTAGGTGAAAGAAACAGGTTCATCCAGTGTCCCTGCCCCTGTACTGGGAACAGAAAAGAAGAGGAACTCTACCCTCTGGGAGCTCCCAGGCAGGTAGAAGCAAGGGAAGGGCCAAAGAGAGTCAGCAAAGAAATAAGGAAACAAGTCCACCATAGGCCACCAGCTTGAGTCTGGGAGCTTTGGGGCAGTGGGATTGGGCAGGGAGACTTTCCAGAAGTTAGTCTTCAGGATCCCTGAAAGAGGGCAGTATGGTCAATAAAGAGAGTGTGGCTGTAATGGGCAGAGGGCACTGCGGTGAGAGGAATGAGGAACTGTAGGTGCAAGGGTGTAGAGAAAGGACCAGGGGATGCTGGGCCCGGGGGGCTGGAACTGGGAGGAGGACTGGTTAGGTGGGAGAGGAGAAGAAGGTAAAGGGACCCTGACGCACATGCAGAACGTGTTTGCTTTGTCTGTAAAGTGGGGGTATGGGTTCCACTCTGCCATCCTCTCAAGATTGATGTGAGAGTCTGAATTTGGGGCGGTGATGGTGGTAAGCATCCGTGCAGTGCAAGGCTTCTGTCCCTGGGGGGAAGCTTCTGGCTCATGTTCATGGGCACCAGCTCATCAAGCCCTCACTTAGCCAAGGGCCCAAAGCCTCTGCTCCCTTCATGGTTGCCATAGCCCTTCTTCCTCACAGGAACCCCATTTCCCAGCCTCTGGGGTCTCAGCCACGCAGGGACTGGCTCAGGAGGGCAGTGTGGGCTCTTCCAGCCTCAGAGCTCCCAAGTAGGAACTGTATATCTCAGTCTATCCAGAACTGTCGAGGTTTATACCTGGTGCTCCTGGTATAATTACCAGTGGCACCTTTTTCACTCTCAAAAATTTCCCGATTTGGATGGTAAATTAAGTGATCGCCTTATTCTAGACCCAAAGGACCTACCATAAAGATGGAATCCAGGTCCTGGGACAGGCAGGGGAAGCTGTTTGGGGGCAAGGAGTCCTACCTAACCCCTTTCAAGTCTGAGGCCACAAGGCCCTAACTGAGCCAGACCCCCCTTTCTGTGATGACGCCTTTTCTTTTACTTCACAGCTGGGGCCAGGACATCATACCAGCCGGCGTCCCCCAGTCGCTTCACCAAGGAGATCAACCAGAAGAACTTCAACAATCTCTATGGCACCAAAGGTAGGAGGGTGTCTTCGCTTGAGGGTGGCCAGGGACAATGTGGGCAGGAGGTGGGAGTTGGGCCATGGGGCAGGGGCGCTGGACTCCCCCATTCAAGGTGAATGTGGGGATCTGGGATGGGGTTGCAGGCTCAGAGATGAGTGGGGAAGAGTCCTACAGAGTTTAAAGAGAGAGAGAGAGAGAGAGAGAGAGAGAGAGAGAGAGAGAGAGAGAGAGAGGGAGAGAGATATTATTATATTAGTTACTCTGGAGGAAAGGCGGCTGGGCACCTCAGCATCACTGGAAATCCCTGTTTCCATGTGATCTTCTCCCTGAAGGATGAGTCAGGGGAATTGGAACCTGGAATTTGGTGTAGAGACTTCCTTCAGCAAGTATCAGGGCATGAGGAACCACAAAAGAACCTTTACTTATTTGTGTGCTTCTGCACTGAAATGTCCAGTGGTTAAGACAAACTAGAGTAGCTGTTAATGGAAAGGATGGATGGGCCCATCCCTGGAAAGCCATGTGAGGTGAGCAAGTGACATGTCCTTAAGACCCAAAAGAGGTGAAATGGGGGTGGAGATGTGGCTCCTCCAAGGAGAGCTGCCATGTGCAGGGTCCCTCTGTCCAGTGCACTGAGAGCTCCATTGTGCCGAGGGCAGGGCCAAGTGCTCAGTGAGCCCAGGTTCTGGGAGGCCCTGCTTCTATCCCAGGGGCTCCTGGGTGCGTGGCAGCCATGTACAGGGAGGGAGGGGACTGAGCCAACTTCATCAGAACCCCTGCCTCAGACACAGCACTAGAAGATCTCAAGAAACAAAGAAGGGAGTATGGGGGGGGTGCTCTTCAGTGAAGACAAGGCCCTGGAGATTTGGAGGGTTAGGGGCACCTGTGGACAGGGCAATCTGGCCTCTACGTCCAGAACTGTATTCACACTGTACTATCACATGCATGGCAGACTGTGAGTTCTATGAAGGCAGAATCTGGGTCTATCCTATTCACTGCTACAATCCCCGGGCCAGAAGAAGGGGCTCAGGAAACATTCGATGAAAGAGTAGAAGAATGAATGAGTGAATGAAAGGGCAAGGCATACGACTCTCTAGAGCCATGAGTGGATATACTCATGGAAGGCCATGCTGCAGAGGCTTCCTGAGGTTCCAGTGAGAGGGGCTTTGCACTGGGGCAGGTGGGAAGCCCCAACCATCTCTGACTGCTGAGTCCAAACATCAGCCCCAGCCCTCCCGGCAGGCAGCTATGAGAGATCACCAGGACTGGGGACTGCATGGAGTGAGCTTGATAAGGACTGCTCCCATGCCTCCCCAGGCCTGATGGAAGAGAGGGCCTGGAGCATGGTGTATCATCCATGGAGGTCCTGAAGTCCCCCACTCAAAAGCCCTAGTGGTGCCCCTGCTGCCATGCACACCCTCCCCACTTCCTCCTTTCCTCTAGACTGCAGGGACATGCTTGCAAATGAACGTCTGCATCCCGTTCCACTTGGTGAACAGAATTCCAGGAGTTGTAGCAGCCGTTTCTGTCCCCAAGCTTTAGCATGTGTTTGTATTTGTTTGTTTGTTTGCTCGTTCATTCATTTGTCAACCATACAATGAACACCTTCTGGGAACCAAGCTCTGTGCCAGGCATGAGTGGGCCAGATGGGCACATCTCCTGCCCCATGGAGCTCAATGGGAGAGACAGAAAACTGAACATGCAACTACAACCTAGGAGGCAAGGTGTGCAGGGTGAGATGGGGCATGGGCTGCGGTACCGCAAACTTGGGGAGATAACATGGAAGCTGACATCTGAAGACCCAACACATACGTTTGTTAAAGGTGGGGGAGCGGGTGGAGTCTCCTAGGCAGATGACCTGGTCTGTGCGAGAGAGGCCTGGTGTGTGTAAGGAACTCAGACTGCATCCTGAATGGCATGTTGAGAGATGGAGAGAAGAGGAGAGAGGCGAAGCTTAGTGGAGACTGTGGTGCGAAGTGGAGGCTGCATCTCATGGAACAGCCGTGGGCTGTATATTATGGACTGTGTACCTCCATCTGAGGACAGTGGACCTTTCGGTAAGGCAGGGACATGATGACACTTTATAGTTTAGAAGGACAACTCTGATGGCAGGAAGGATTGCTGGGAGGCATGATGGGAGCTCAGCAGCATCCTGACTTGAGACGTGGAGAAGGCTGGGGAGTTACAGAAATGGCCTCATCCTGCCTCTGGCCCCCGTGCCAGGCTGCCTTGGTGTGATGCCTTACCTTCCTCTGCCTTACCAGGTAATTACACGTCCCGGGTCTGGGAGTACTCCTCCACCATGCAGAGCTCCGACGACCTGCCCACCGTCCAAGGCAGCTCCTCCTTCTCCCTGAAAGGTGAGCTCTCCACCCCCCTGGTCCTCCCTGCTTTTCCTGTCACCCACCAAGCCCTGCAATGGTCTCTGCTCCCTCACTCACCAGTTCCTCTCCTTGAATGGGACAGAGCCTTGGACTGAAAGCTGCCTCCACCCTTGTCTTTGCTGTCAAGGAGGGCTGGGCCACAACAGTCTTTCTCAGAGCTTGTTTCATCATACACTGGTTCCTAAGGATGCACTGTGATCACAGGCCTCAGTGTCAGGGAGGTGGGGACATGCCATATTCTCTACAATTCCCACCCCAGGTATCCCCAGGGTGCTTCCATCAGGCTGAACTCCTGAGTCTTCCTACTGCAGAAAGCTTGTTTAGTAACTTTGTTCATGCAGTAACTCCAGCCTCGGTCGACTCTAGAACCCTGTGGCCATATGGCACTGCTCAACATCCCAAACAGCCAGAGTCCTGCTGAGCTCCTTTGGAAAAGGTGGGACTGGATGATCGCTAAGGCTTCCGAGTCTGATTCTGTGCCCCAGAACTCTTTGACAAGGCTGAGTGGTCAATGCCTCTTGTCCCCTGGGGTTGGGTTATTTTGAGTCACAGGCTTGAGAAAAACCCCAGGTCACAGTGGGGCCTGGGGCCCTCATGTCTCTTCCAAAATGTTCGAATGACAACTCTGGTGGGATATGGTGGGAGTAACGTAGTCTGTCTTCTGACACCCAACGTATCTGGCCTGGAAAACGGGATAAGTAGGTTGGGTGGAGTCGGGGAGCAGGAAAGGGGCTGTGCAGAGCAGGCAGACCCCCAAGCAGTGGCCTCTGAAGGTGGCTTTATCCAGCTACCCCTTCATGGCTGGGATATCAGCCTATGCCCAGGGCAGAGATCATTGGAATGATCGGCAATGTGAAGGAAAGGGGGTACGACTAGAGGGTCCAGCCTGCAGGAACCCCTGGGAAGCTCTGAGTCTTCCCTTGGCCTGTCTGGCTTCCAGCAGATCCCTACCTGCTCTCTGGTCAAAGGCTACCTAGCAGGGAAGATGGCCACCTTCAGGTGTGATTCCAAGCTTTCATGTTCCTCAGTATCTCCCCATCAGGCTGCTGGGCCTTCTCTGCAGAATGCCTGGCCGTAGGAAAGCCAAATATACCATGTCCTGAAATAGCCCAGGAACATCCGCTGTCACCCTCACGCAGATCAGCTCCCCAGATCCACTGGGAATGGCCTTGGATGGAGGCTCTGGGCAAGACTGCATATGGGCAAGGAGAACCTCTGCCGGTGGCAGAGCGCTCAGCAGGGCTGAGCAAGGGCTGTAGAATGGCATCACCCTGGGGGAGATGTGACTCTCTCTCTGGCCCCTCCTGAGACCAGCACAATGCTGCTAATGCCTCTCTCTCTCCCAGCAGGCACTGGGAAAGTCCCCTATCAGTTCACCACCTTGGGACAGGCCACCACAGAGTTTTCCAAACCATTGGACACCAGTGGGCTGTTTAAAAATAATTCTGGTACCTGTTTGTTTCTAATCCCTCCCCTTTCTCTGCCACAGTGGGCAGGTGGGATACTGTGGGGGCTCTCTGCCACTTCTAGGGTATCCTGGTTCCTCCTCCCCAGAGCCCCCTGGAAGAGGGATGAGTGCCTCACTGCCATCCCTGGCTTCCCCTCCTCTGGACTTCTGCCTGCTGCACAAGGCTGGCTTCCTGGGTCCCCTTCTCTCCTCCCCATCCTCACCTCTCTGATGGCTGGCTGGCATGAGATTTTCTTTCTGGGAATAGAGACATGAGACCTGAGTTCCCCTTCTTGCAACCTCCCACTCAGGACCTGCAGGACCCTCTCTTTCCTAGGCTGCTCCATCCCCAGATTCAGGGAGAGACCCAGGTTCTCTGCTTTGTCTCCTCCCCCTTGCTAAGTGCTAACCCAGGGAAGAGCCAGCTAACTGGCATCCTGGCAGTGCTACAGGTGGTTTTTGGATCTGACCAATTCACTGTCCCTAAGAGCAGGACAGGACAGGGTTCCAGGCTGCCCTAGCCAAGAACAGACCCTGTTGACCTCCTCTGTGTCCAGGTCACAGCCTGTTTTTCCCAAGCACCACTGCCTGTCCTTGAAGGCTGACAGCTGACACTGAGAGTGCTTTTCACAGTTCTGTGGACCAGAGCTCCTTAAAGATGCCTCTAAGGAGATGTGAGGAGGTAGGCCCGGGGAGCCCCACCCTGTACCAGCACCTTCAGGACCAAGCCCAGACAGTACCCATGTGCTCCAGGCCCCTGGGGTTGCTGTCTTAAGCCTAGACTGCAGCCGCATGGAAGATTACTGCCCCGCTCTGGGTCCCAGCCTTCTGATCCTGAAGCAGGGGAGAGGCAGCAGAACTGCACAGCAGCAACATGAGGGTGGGTTTTGCAATCCAGCAAAACCTGGGCTCAAATCCTGACTGCTGCTTATCAGCTGTGCAACACAGGGCAAACTGCTGAGCTCACAGAAATGGGGAGGAGGCTCAATGAGACATATAGAAAGTCCCAGCCTCTGGGTGCTTGGCACGAGTGGGGCCAACAAATGGGGAGCACAGGGGAGTTAAAATGAGTACCTCCTGGCGAAAATCCTGGCAGGTTGTGTTTAGGAAGTGGCTTTCCTGGGCTTTGGGGGGTTGGGGAGAAATGTCAGGGGTGTGAGTCTTCAGGATGGGTGGCGTAGAGTGCTGCGATGCTGACCTGGATTTGGGGTGACACTCACCTCCTGCTGGCCCAGCCCACCTGGCCTGTTCCTCCTCCTGTCTGCCTTGGGGACTCCTCCCTTTGGCAAGCCATCCAGGATTTTCCACTGTGGGGCGCCCCGGCTACTGTACCCCTCGGGTAGCTGTACTTGGTAATGGGCTGGATGGAGCTTGGCGATCACTTTGGAGATGGCGTGTGTGTCCTGGGGGCCCTGACTGCGCTCCGTGCCCTCTGACTGGAGCCTCTTATCTCTGCAGGCTATCCCTCCCTCATGAGGAACCAAAGCCCCAAGGCCCAGCCCCAGACTTGGAAATCCGGCAAGCAGACTTTGCTGGTGAGTGAGGGGCCACCGGGAAACCCCACCTGGGCATAGTTATGTCCACATCAGGCACTGAATGGGGATCTCCAGGGACAATTGGTCATCACTTGCCCAGGGCCTGTGGGAGGATGGTGACGTCTCTGGGCCATGGGGTGGAAGAAGGAGGCAGCAGTGGCCTGAATACCTGCATGCGAGAAAGGGTAGCAGAAACCTAGGCTAATAGGCAGGGGGCCTAGGTAAGCATCTACTTTCTGGGCTCAGTTTTCTAATCTGTAATATGGGCAAGCCTGTGTTTTCTCATTTGGCGAATGGTTGTTTGGCACCTATGCTTGTTGAATGATGGCTCGGTCCCTGCCAGCTCTGGAAATGTAAACTGCTCAGTCCAGGGGACAGGTATCTCCTAGAGAAGAGTCCTACCTCCTTGGGGCCAGTTGTCCAGCTCTGATAGCACAGGAGCAATTGGGGTGATAGCGTGGGAGGCAGAGGCTGCAAAGTTAGGAACAGATATATGAGGTCAGAAAATTAAGTTCATGAATTCATCCTAGAAAAAGTGCTACATACCTCATTGCTGACTATGGTCACCTTCGAAGTATTCCCCTTGGGAAGCTCTGCACTGACACCAGTGCCTAGTCCACCCTTCAGAGCAATTTTGGAATTCTGTTTCTGGAATGGGCATCAGAGTTGTCATAGTATTATCCTTGATGTCCTAAATGTCATCCAAATGTCTTTCAATATTTCCTTTATCTTTGGGTAAAGAAAGAAATAAGTGGGGGCCAGATCAGGTGAGTAGGGAGGGTGTTCCAATACAGTTATTTGTTTACTGGCTAAAAACTCCCTCACAGACCGTGCCGTGTGAGCATTGTTGTGGTGCGAGGGCCATGAATTGTTGGCAAAAGTTCATTTTCGTCTAACTTTTTCACGCAGCCTTTTCAGCACTTCCAAATAGTAAACTTGGTTAACTGTTTGTCCAGTTGGTACAAATTAATAATGAATAATCCCTCTGATATCAAAAAAGTTTAGCAACATCATTGTAACAAGTTCGCGAACCTAATTGTCAGACCTCGTATTTAGGTTTCAATAGCTAATGACCCTGAGCCGGGCGCATCAAAGAACAGCACAAGAAGGACGCATGGCCTTGAAATCCAGTCACCTGCTGGTTATGGGATCCTAGACTAGTCATATTTCTCTTTGGGACTCTGTTTCTTCATGTTTATAATGTGGTGCTCAGACGAGGTGACCCCTAATACCCTGCAGTCCTGTCATACCTGACCCCTGCTCGAGACCTCAGAGATCAGGGACTGTCCTTCACAGGCTGTGCTTCCAACTCCACGACTGCTTCTCTCCTGAAGGCCCATGTCAGGCCCTGTTGAGGGACTTAGCCAGCCGCCCTGGGATGTGGGTGGCGTCTACTGAGGACAGGGGCTAGAGCCCTCAGCTTCCTTCTGTGTTTGCATTTGGACGTCAGAACACGGGGAGGTAATTTGCTCTGGTCCATAAAGAGTGACTGGGGCTGGTTTAATTGGGGAGAACCTTTAATTTCCTGGCAATGGGAGGTAAGTGATCATTTAGAGCTGGGCCCAGGGACACAGCAGCAGCAGAACTAGAAAACACACTTATGGGAAGAAAATAAAAGCCTTCTGTTCCTGGACTTCGCCTTTCCCCCACTACCGCATCCTCTCCTACCTCCCAGACACTGTGCCTCAGCAGAAAAGGCTCAGCACCACCTAGAGACGCAGGGCAGGGCAGGGTTCTGGTGTTCCCAGCTAGCACCCAGTGCCGGGAGAATAGAAGCAGATGATAGTGTGTGAAGAGGGCTGGCTGGGAGTCAGTCTGCCTGGGGTGTGGCCCCAGCCCTCTCTCCAACTTGCTCTGTGACCTCGTGTGAGTCATTCTTCCTCTGTGCCTCATTTTCCCCGTCTTCAACATGAGTCAGATGGCTGGGATGATTTCATAGCTTTTCCAACTTTCACGTGCTGTGACCGTGAACCAGGGAGGGAACCAGGGTGGGCGAGGCAAAGGGAGAGCACGCCGCCCAGATGCCATTGGGCTTTCTGTTGCTGCACACCCACCACTCTGGGCTCCTAACAAGACTTCAATCTATTTTGTTGACCTAGCCTTCCTAAAAAAAAGAGCTACAGCCATTGCCAGGCCTATTCACTTTGCCTTATTGCATGCTTTGGAGTCTAGGCTGATACCTAGGGGTCAGTCGGCCTGGTCCAGGCCCTGTTCTGCCACTAAGTAGCTGTATGATTTTGTCTGTGTCATTTTCCTGCCTGGGTCTCTATCTATCTCTTCCTTCACTTAACCCCTCATTTCCACAGGCCCCCTAGACCTGCTATGGACCAGATGTAGGCAAGGAGGTCCTAGTATATACAAGTTTCCAGGCTGGCAAGGGCAGGGGCCGGGAACCGTGTGGTATTTGCTGGGCTCAGTCTCTGGTCCAGCTCAGGGACAACACTACTTCCAGAGAACCCCTAGGGGCTTTCGGCGTTTGCATGGGTAAGCGGCAGCAAAAATGTGCTCTTCCGTTTCAGCCTGGAGAGTGATTTCTCAGAGCTCTGATGAAGTGATTGGGAAGAAAGGGGAGCGATGATTTCATGAAATTTCTGTGGGATGTAATACACAGAGCTGGCAGGAAAGTTGTCGCTGGCTGTGTCCTGAGAGACACTCCCTGAATCCTGATAAGGAGCCAGGATGAGTGAGGCGGAGGGTCTGGGGTGGGAGCTCATGGTCTGCGTGGGGCTGGGGTGGTTGCTTGCCTTCTTTGCTCCCTCCTGTATCAGGGAGAATTATGCGAAGAGAGCAGAAGCAAACGCTTGAAGCCCTTGAGACTCAAGGAGTGTTGCAGAGACATGGGTGGGGTGGGGGGTGGACTCTGGAGCTAGACTGCTGGGGCTGGAATCCTGGCTCCTCTACTTACCAGCTGGGTGGCCTTAGGCAAATTGCTTGCTTCTCGGTGCCTTGGTTTGGTCATCTTTAAAAGGGATATGATAATACTCACTTAATTGGGTGGTTGTAGAAATTCCGTGAGTCCATCTATATAAAGAGTGCTGTGTAGTTTTGTTGAGTGGAAAGCACTGATAAAGGGTAGCTGTGGTGGTACTGGGAGGGCGTTCCTGGGCCATGGAAAGAAACAGCGATGAGGGGCTGAGATTCAGGCTCACCGACCGATGGCTGGGAATCAACTCTAATTAGGATTTGAACCTGGAGACTCTGATAACATTGGGGCCCAACTCTGGTCACAGGGTAGAGATTGCAGGTTTAGGCCACAGGCCCTAGAATTGTTGGGGTTCAGACCACTGCTGCTTCCTGGGGGAGGTTAAGGTCGGGTGGGTCTGGCTAGTATGCCCCACTGCCATTTCCCCCCCTAACTACTCTTGTTCCCTGCAGTCTCACTACCGGCCATTCTACGTCAACAAAGGCAATGGGATCGGGTCCAACGAGGCCCCATGAGTTCCAGACAGGCGGGAATGAGGCACCGCCACCCCTGCCCTCCCCAGCTGATCCTGCTGCTCTTGCTACTGTTGTTGTTTGGGTGGGAGGGAGCCCGGTCCTGTGCCTGCCCTCCCCCAGCCCTCTGCCAGCCCTCTTAGGGCTGTCCTGCCTTTCTTCTCCTTCCCCATTAACCACACTCCCTCCAGACCCCTCTTCTGCTCTGAGGCTTCTAACGGTCGTCATCTTTCTTGGGCTCAGAGGCCAAGCATCACAGGGGTGGGAGATAGGTGGGCTTCTCTTCCCTAACCCACTACGTTCCTCCTCTTGGGCAGGATCATTGGGGCTAGCAGTGGGTGCCCACGTAGTACCAGCCTGCTTCTTCAGCCCATGTCCCTGCTGTCTTTACGCCTGCTGGGCATTTCTCTCCAAAGCCCTTTGCTCCATGATGCAGTCAGTAAGTGCCTGGCCAAGACAGCTGCCCGTCTCCCATCCGCAAGGGTCCACCTTTTTCTTCCCAGCAGCACGACCCATCAGGAGAAGACTGGCCCTGTGTGCCCTGCTCTGGTCCTACCTACCAATGTCCAGGCTGGCAGAACCTGCAGCCCTTGGCCACCACAGAGGGAAACTTCTCAGTGTCTTGGCATCATTCTGCCTGGCCTTGGGTCTCACCACATCCACTCTGAGTCTGCAGCCCCTGAGGAGGGGCTCTCCTGGCTGGCAGGATGATCTCAGCCAAGATTTTCCTCTCTTCTATATGCTGAGATGAGCGATTCCCTTGACATGATATAATCCACCCAAGAAAATAGCTACTGGCCCAGCTGCCCTGAAGGAAATATCATTTACTTATAGAATTTCATTGGTTTGATAATTTTGCATTTTCTTAGCAATGGAAGTGAGCATTCCAGTGAAAGTATGGCTGCACTGGTAACCACCTGACACACTGCCCCCACCCCTATCCACTGCCGTCATCATAGAGTCTTCCTTTGTCCTCTGACTGCCCTCCATGTTGCATATTATCAAGGGGCCGAGGGCCCGGAGAGGAGACCAAACCAGGAGCAGCAAGGTGGGGTCATCCTTCCTCTCACAGCCCCCCTCCAGGCCTATGAGGGCTATGGGGAGGTTGGGCCAGCTTGCAGGGATAAGGGAGGCGGGGAGGAAGGGAGACATTCGGCTTGGGCTACCCCCACTGAATAAACCATTGATTACCTACTTCTTTTGTATTGAAAAAACATTTCCCTCAGAGTCAGCAGAGGGACTGGCTGCAGTGCTTCTGAACACATTTTTTTTTTTTTTACCTCTGATGAGTGTGTGGTCATCTTCCCTCTTTCCTCTAGAAGATGGAGACGCCTTTGGGTCTCCATTCCACCCCTCCCACCCCCATCTGAGTCCCTGAGGTGCAGTGCAGGAGACTGGACCTTTCTGAGGCAGGCCTTGGTTAACAGTGAGCAGAAGGGAGGACAGTGGGGTGGGGTCCTGGGGTATGTTGAGTACCCTGAGGGCTGTGAGTGCTCAGATGCCCTGGCCAGCCTACGCCAGAGTCTTCAGAAGGGAGCAGGGCCCAGGAGTGGCTACACACAGGCTGGAGTGTAGGCTAAGCAGAGGCTTCAGACCTAAGGGCCTTCTAAGTGGTGGGGAGGACTCCCTGGGCTGAGGGCTGGCAGGAGAGCTGGGTTCCTGAGGGCAGTACCATTTTGGGCTTTGGGCATGGAGGAAGGAAATGAGGCCTTCCAGTCCCTGGGAGCTCAGAGAGGCCTGAAGGGGCAGTCAGGGAAGGTTTCCTGGAAGAGGCAAGCAAGATAGGAGGAAGTCTGACTGAATAGTGAGGGAAAGAAGGTGCAAGAAAACCACACCTTTTCCCTTGGTGTGGCCAGGCCCCTCCAGGCCCCTCCATTCTAATATCCTTCCTTGCTCTGCTCCCCACCAGGGACCAAATGACACCAGAGGAGCAGGCCCCCTCACCTAGTGAAAGTACCTAAATGAGCTCACTGCTGGTCCATAGTGGAGGGGCAACACCCTTTCTTCCTCCCTCTTCCCACCCTGCTGGGCCAGGATTCCCAGAAGGGGGCTCCTTGGAATAAGAAAAAGGAAGGGGAAAATGGATAAGAATAGGAAGACAGAGAGGAAAGGGTAAGAAAGGAGAGTAAGGTGAAGTGCATCTGTGGAGGACATTCAGGCACTGTCAGGAAGGAGAGATACCACACGTATCTCTTGTGGAACGCTTTGCAACCTCGGTGTTCTCCCTTGGGAGCTAGGAGGAATACAGTATCCCTGGGGTTGACTGCTGCTCTCAAAGCAGCCTGCCCCAGATGCTGGTTCCATGAACAAGTTCCTCTGAGGAGTGTCCCCCAAATCCAGCAGACCCATCTCCATGGGCACTCAGTGCCCTGCTGCCTCCCTGACCTTCTTTAGGATCTGCAGTCTCTGTGGCCATGATGGTGAAAAGGGCTACTCTGCTGGTCTCCAGGGATGCCCAGATTCTCTGAGAGAGGCTCTGACCCTCTCATTTTGGGTCCTTCCCCGAGCCCGCCAGCTCCAGAGGAGGGGAAATGGACAGGGACCCAGGTCTGGCTGAGTTTCCAAGATGAAAGCCATGTGGGCAGCCAGGCACCTGCCTGTCCTAGGCCTGGGCCTCACCGGGAGCAGCCACCTGCAGTATGGAGGCCGGCAAGATAGGAAGACAGGAGCACAGCAGTGTCTGGAGGCCCTGGGCCCTCTGCTGAAGACCTCTCCAAGCATCATACTGCCCCTGTCAATCCCAAGTAGTTCCATTAACATTAGAGCTGGAATCATAATGAAATCAGGGGAATCTTTTGTTCCCACTCCCCCACCTTGCCCTGCAGCAGGAGTGAGAACAAGATTTTTGCAGGCCCCAAGTGGCTCAGGGAAGGGGGGAGGAGGGGAAGAGAGTTATCTCTCCCCAGAATGGGAGAGAAAGGAGAAAAGCAAGACTCCATTCTCAGTCCTTTCAGGCCCAGCAAAACCCTGGTTCATGTTCCCCTGTGCCCTGTCTTCACTCAGCTCTGTCTGGGCTTTAGGTGATTCTGGGAGTGCTGTGGGCAGCCCGCCGGCACGTGCAGGAGGACCCACTGGAGTCTGGGTTGGAGAATGAGGGAGGAAGAGCTGGGGCTCAACAGGGCTCGAGTAGTTTGGAGTTCTCTTCCTGGCTCTGTCACTTCAGGCTGTGCAATCCGGGCAAGCCGCTTGTGCTCTCTGGGCTTGACCTTGCCCATCTACAAAATGAGATGTTTCCACTGGGTCATTCCTGAGCTCCTTTCCCAGCTCAAATAGTCCGTGTAGTAAAGACTGCAGTGAAAGCAGGTGGAAGGGACTGGGAAGTTGCGCTTGGCCCCAGGTTGGGGCTCTATGATCAGGACTGGGTTGAACGCAAGGTGGCCTGGGCTCCCAAATCCCCGAGGCTCTGCTTACCCAGCCCAACTGCCTCACCTGATCTGTAGACCCCGACTATCAGTGGACTCGGGCCCTACCCAAGCTCTGTTCTGCGCGTGGATCTTCAGGACCCACCAGAAGATGGTCTCTGTGATATCGGGTTATTCCGTCTTGTTTTCTTAGAACAGTGCAGGCACATGACTAGGGCTTGGAAGCTAGAAGCAGTTAACTTGGGGAGAGGTGGTGGGAGCAGACGATGAAAGAAACAAAGGGGGAATTGGGGAGGTGGCCAGTGAGGGGGCATCTGGGACATTTCATTGTGTGGGCTTCTGAGTCAGAGTACAGATTTTGGAGCCAGACTGTCTAAGTTAGAGCCTTGACTGTATCATTCACAAGAAGTGTGATGTTGGGCAAGCTACTCAGCCTGTAAGAGGTTAACAGCATCCTGAAGGATTGCTGGGAATAACAAAACAGTGTGTGCAAAGCACCTGGCATAGAAAGCACTCAACAATTGAGACATGACAATATTATTACTGTTGTCCAGTCATCAACAACAACATCTCAACTTGGGGACTCAGCTTGATTTTTCCATCTTTTTAACCTTTTTTCACACTTGGACAGGAGGGACCCAGTGGAGGCAGCTGGGGTTTTCCTAATTCTTTCCCAGCCAGGGAACCAGCCCCACGGATCCCTGCAGTTCTCAGACATGGACAGCAGATGGCAGCACATCACTAAGGGAAGCACTAAGCTTCCCATCTTTTGCCCAGCAGTCAGGACGTTCCCCACCCCCTTCCACAAGGGATGCCCCTTTCTCCCTTCTTTCCACATTTGCTAAATAGATCTTGTTTTCCTAGGCTGTGGAATGTGTAACCGTAGGAAATAGACCCCCAACTAAGCTGGGGGTCTATTTGCTGCTCACCCCAATCTGGCATGGAGGCTGCACAGTGCATGGAGGTTGCAGGGTGTAGTACAGGGAGGGTCCCATCCCTGTGGGTGCTGCTGCCCTTGGGCTCTCTCTGTTGGCAGGAGGGTGGGCCTGAGGGAGGTGGCTAGGTGGGCACGTCAGGTTTTGTTTTGCAGCCTCTGAAGGTGTGGGAGGTTGGACTGCACAAAGCAGACCACCAAGTGAAATGTGAGATAGAAAGGCAGAGTTCTTGAAATCTAAGGTAACTGAGAGGCTACAAACTGCAGAGCCCCTTGACTTCTATCATCCTCAGATCTCTTACCTATGGAACGGGGAAATTTGTACCTTCCTTCTGATTGACTATGTAGAAAGGTCAGAAGGGTAAAAATTGGGACCCCAAGAATAAATGTCCACAGGAAGTGGGTGCTTGAATGTGGAGGTGTGAGCCCAACTCCTGCCAAGGCCCCATTTTCCCACCAAACTCTCAAATCACCTCCCAAGAGTGACCCAGGCAGTTTTATCTTTCTGAGTATTGACTGTTAAGTTTGAAAGTAAATTGTTATTCAGCCACAGAAACAAGGGAGATAAACACTAATTGCTGGGTGGATGTGCCAACTCTTGGTTTCGAATTCATCACCTTGCCAAGGCTGAGGCTAGGAAGAAGAAAAGGGAAAGAGAAGGGAGCAGCAGCCAGGACTCTGGGAACAACTAAACCCTCTTGCCAAGGGATGTAACTGTAGGGGGTGTTAGAACCCCTCTCCAGGAGCTGAGAGTGATGCCCGGGGTCTCCAGGGAGGACAGGAGCCAGGGGAGGGAGAAGGGGAAGTCTTTGGCTGCTCATGGTTATTAAGAAGTTAATCCCGGGCCAGCCGAGTGGCTCAGCTGGTTCAGAGCTCGCTTGGGACACCAGCTCTGAGCAGCAGGGCTGCGGTTCAGATCCCACATTGAGGGCCAGTGATGCTGGCCCTCTACAGCTAAGATGGTGAACAACAGCTCAACCTGGAGCTGGGCTGCTGTGAGTTGCTGGCGATGGCGTAGGCTGCAGCAGGGCTGCAGTGGGCTGCCGTGAGCTACGTGAGTGGCTGGCAGCCATCATGAGCGGCTGGTAGCCGGTGTGAGCTACCGGGAGCTGCTGTGAGCGCCGACCAATGACCGGCGACAGATTGCCTCATTCGGGAAGAGCACAATGATCATACCAACATGGGCCAGTGAAGCGACGTCCTCCACCACTAGATTGAAGAACAAAAAAACCCCAGCAATTTGTCTACTTGTCTGTTCCCCTTCCCCGATTCCTGAACGCTGTTACCCGCCCCCCAAGTCCCCAATAAAATCTTTAAAAAACAAAAAGAAGTTAATCCCAAGTGGGCTGATAATTTGTTTCCCTCCTAGCCCTAGAAATGGGGCTGGCCCATTTCTCTGAGATTTGTTCCGTCCTCATGTTAAGACCCTCTATGGGGCTGAATTGAGGGGCTGCACATCCCATGACTGACTGGCAACTTGCAGAAAGTGGATCTGGCAGTGGAAGGTGTGGCCTTCAAGAGCCTATCATTTAAAGGACTCACGGTTATTGTCTGAGAGGTGAGGTTGTGAGTCTTTGGTGGCCCCCGTGGGGATCTGCCTTGGGGTGGGGGATCTGAACTAGATAATCTGAAGCCCAAGTCTGGGTCCATTGTGCAGGCCTAGGTGAGAGACAGGAGCACAGATGTCCTGCAGAAGAGCGGGAATGAGGATTCACGTGAGGGCAGGGTCAGCGGGGGCTTTTCATTTATTTCCAGATATTCATGGCATGCCAAGATCTAGGTGTGGGGGATAAAGGAGACACAAGTCACTGCTCTTGGAACTTACAGCTGGCCAGGAAGCAGAGGCTAAAGTCACCAGTGAACCTGTGGGCTGGTTTAAATGGAGAGAAG